TAAGCACCTTATGTGTTTTTATTAAATTCCTTGAATTTCTAGAATTTCTTCAATATCTTGAATTGCTTGATTTTCTTGAATTCCATCAAAGTTGAGACCTATGACTAACCACCTTATGTGTCTTTGTGAAATTCCTTGAATCTCTAGAGTTTCTTTAATCTCTTTAGTTGCTTGAATTCCGTCATAGTTGAGACCTAGTACTAACTAACCTATGTGTCTATGTTAAATTCCTTGAATTTCTTGAATTGGAAATTTGTGGATCGTGGTTATATCTCAAGACGTCAAAGTTTACAATATTCACAAAGTTTATCGCAAAAGAATTGTAACATTTTCTCTCCCTATACACCATTAAACAGGCTCAAAAGGCAGCGATATCATCGGCGAATAGAGAAAGACGAACGCCGGGAGTGAAACAAAAGGAAGGAAGATCGTGAATGAAAAAGTTGAAGAGGAAAGGCGAAAGAATACTTCCTTGTGGCGTCCAGTAAGAGCAGTTGTACAGTTTAGATGACACATTCGAAAGGACGGGGTGCAATAAGAACGAGGATCGGCCGCATTTCAGATCATCTCCAAAGGTATCTAGAATGAAACAGCGTACAGTTTTATGGGATTCTACGCCCTTGGTTTCCCTTCGGATCTTATATCTGTCAGAAAATCGATCAGCTTTGAAGAATGGCTCCACGAGCCCATTCCGAGGCCTTTTTTGTAATTTTCTCAGAATACAACAAGTTTGAAAGAAAGTCTTATAAACACTCACTTTTTGGGATTTTACTACTGAAAGGTATGTTTTCAAGTATACTGATGGATAATGTTTCTGTGTTTTTACCATGAAACAGCCTAGGTTGCGATCTACATTATATATCAAAAGGAAGCTCTTTCAAAACGCTAGAAAATGCTATGTAATTCCTTTCTAATCGATACTGCGAACATCGACGTTGTTGGATATTACTGTTAAAAAGCGGTCTTTTCAGCATAGTCTATGATAGTATTTCTATTGCTTTTACCACAAGGAAGTATTCTTTCGCCTTTCCTCTTCAACTTTTTCATTCACGATATTCCTTCCTTTTGTTTCACTCCCGGCGTTCGTCTCTCTCTATTCGTCGATGATATCGCTGCCTTTTGCGCCTGTTTTAATAGTGTACAAGGAGAGAACATGTTACAATTCTTTTGCGATATATAGTATTCTCTCGAAAATATCAAAAAATCCGTGAAGGAGTAGGCCACACACATAGCCACTAGACTATATTCATGACCGAGGTATCTAAATTGAAAACTGTCTAGCTGTTTCGGTCCTACATTTATAATTTATTTAAACAATGAAGTGATCTGTTATTTGTTTCTGAAATACGCAGTTGATTATGAGCTTTTACTAAACTTTCAAACAATTATTATCTCTCATCGTTGTTACAGTTTTCATGATCGATGCTGATTACCAGCATCTGCGTCCTCTAGATCATGTCTGCCAGATCTACAAAATCTGAAGAAGGGTGTATGGGTGGTTCGGTATCTGGTTATATTTGTTTTATAGCATTCTGATAAAATGTTTTCTTTAAAATATTACTTAAACAATCTGCCACGCAAAAATATACTTAGACGCCATATTTTCAGTAATTCTAATGCACATAAAGAGTGCAGTTAAAGTTTAAAGTCATTAACAAATGCAGTCCTTTCTAAATAGTCGTCTAAACCGTGAAAATTTGATTAAAACTCCTAAAAAAAACAGAGCAGAATTCGCTTGGTAAAATTCCGTGAGAAAGTAACCATTAATTGAAATGTAACTACACTTATTAGGTTCACAACTTTTTTATTCAGTTGTTCCTATTTCGTTAACCAGTCGTAGACCTCTCAGTAAAACTAATCATATGTCTGTTAACCTGTTGCACCCAAATATGAAGCTCTTTGGTGATCGTAGGCCTGTATATCCTGAATAATACATAAACAATGAACAGAGTAGAGTGGACAAAAAGTAATTTTACCCATGTTAACGAATCATTGTGCCAATGATAAAAAACCATTGTCCTGAACAACGCTAATTGGACGTAAGTTTATACATTACCATTCCGCTAACAACCTCGTGACACTTTCTTGCTTTTTTTCTGTAAACTTGTACGATGATGATGACGATTGAAAAAGTGTTTTAATTGATATTGGTAAAGAATAATGACACACTGGTGGCCCCGATGACGCATCTGACAGTGCTGATCGGCTAGTATCGACGTCAGCTTTTGAACTTTGTTTAATCATCTGTTAGAGGACATTCATAGCTTGGCAAAGTTACCTTTTTTAGAATTCTGAACATAGAGAGGCACATAAAAGCAAGTCATCGTTAATAGAATGGGTAAGGTTACATCTTTATGTTTGTACAGCTGCATACGCTAATTTATTACCGAGTGTCCGGAAATTTATTGACCAAAAAGAAAATTAAATATCTCCGCCATTTCTCAACCAAACTTCAAGGTTGCTCTTTTGTTTGGTAGAGAAACATTCCAAGTTTTATTTCATACGATTGGAACCTCTTGTTAATATTTGAAAAAATGTTTGAATCTATTATAGTGGAATCCAGATATTTTCAGACTCTTTTTTAATAAATTATGTACTNAATGACCGGTTGATGTGGATTTCTTCAGTCATTGTTATTCCATACTAGCATCTGGAAAAGTGCAAAAAAGTAATAAAAATATTTTTCAGCTAAAGTTAACTAATAAAAGAAAAACTTTTAGTGGAATTCTATACAAAGAAGATAGCCGTATAAACTGGAATAGTTTGAAAGCCTGTAAAAAGTTGTATCTAATCCAGAAGCCGCAATCCGTAGGACATGCTAATATCGAGAAATTACCTTCTTATGGCAAAACTTTAAACTGAACAAAACATTTGAACATGCGAGCATTGAATATGCGAGCATTGAACTTGTAGAGCAGCCTGAGTTCTACAAAATGATATGTTGTGCGACGCTGACAAAGATTCCATTTAATTACGACAAGTTCAACAATCTTTACGCACTATTACAAGTACCTACACAGAAAACATATGTTGTAAGTTTTATTATTTTTCTGTACTGATCCTTTTGTACACAAAACTTTTCGATCGTATCAAATAAAACTTGGAACTTTTCTCTATCAAACAAAAGAGCAACCTTGAAGTTTGGTTGCGAAATGGCGAAGATATTAATTTTCTTTTTAGTCAATGAATTTCCGGACACCCGGTACTTTAATAGAGAAAGTTATATGTTATGGACTACATGAAGCTTTGTAAAATTCTTATTTGTTAGTTGCATCTGGGCATTATATCTATGCATGTTAATTGTTCCTAACAAGTTGCATAAAGCAAAGTTTATATTTACTATATTCATTAAGTTATATTTTCCTTTTATTATAATGTTTGAACAATGTTAAAACTATGTATCTAGCAAGAATACAACAGAAGAAGACGTATAATGAAATTTAACTGAAACAAAGTTTTCAAATATTAGTGTCTTGGCATTATATACAATAAGTACAGAAAATGTTCGTACGATGAAAAACGTTTTTCTGTAAAAAATATCTCTGCAATGAAAGATCATAGCGAGATCAGGTTTTCACGCTGAGATAGCCAATTAATTACAATTAAGGGCAGTGAGATTAAATTTTATTAAAAATTCTAGTCTTCTGTATCGTAATCACTGTGATTGTTACTTTACTAGTAAAGTGCCATCCCTATTAGTGAAAACACAAGCAGCACATTGAATTTGCTTATGGCGTTCTAGTCTCTATAAGTTCAGCTATTGCTAGCACTAACGCTCGGATTTCTGCTGTGGTGTGTTAATGCTGGCGAGTGGGACAAAAACGCAATGTTAGGTGATTTGCGGTTAACTCATCGTATGAAAACTTGAATAAAACAATTTTCTCTCTCTCTCTCTCTCTGTTAAAATAAAACTCCGAAACGATCATTCTGGTATTTAGCTGATAAGCTGCGTAACAAACTTGACATATAACCAAGGGCGAAACAGCGATTTCTGTATTTATGGTATGTTATTTTGTTATGCGGTATGTAACGCGTATGTGACGGATATTTTCGGTATGTTGAGTACCATCTGTAGAAAAAAACAGTGCTATCGGTTGTCTTTGAATAACGTTTAATAGAAAAGAGCTAAAGAGCTTCTGTTTTCACCATTCGAAAGAGGAGATATGGAGGCATGTTTTCATAACCTAATTTTTTCCACCAGAAATTCTGAAATAGGCTTTTTATGGAATTAACTCAGCTGTGTGTAAAAATTTCCCAGTAGGATTGTACTGATCTTTTTTCATCGACTGATAGCCCGTGGCGTCTTCTTCAAAATGAAAGTCAAGTGAGACCTTGATTTTCCGTGGTTCGGGCGTTATATCGGATTCCCTACGAGTCTCAGGACTGACACCCGGTGGCTATTAGTAGCCTTGAAGACGAATGGACTATGGTTAATCGGCCATGCTGAGTCTTGTGACAAGGTTTGATTTAGAAAAAGTTTTAAAAATCTACCGAAAACGAGTATGATAAAAATTAGGGTTTTCAGGCTTTTTTTACCTAATATTAAAAAGTTCACTCACTTTTCTCTCAAAAAACATCAGAACGAGTTCAGAACTTCAGGATATGATCGATATTTTCTGCTAAACATGGTTGTAAAATCGAAAAATCGAAAAAGTATATTTTTCTTAATAGGTTTTCCAGAAGCTCTTTTAGAAAATTTTAGGATTTTTTAAGTTTTTTTCTAGATCCCTTACAAACAGAATATAGAATGGTTTAAATACTCTGCATACTGAAATTTTGAACTCATGCTGATTCTTTATGAGTGAATATTGAACTTTTTAATATTAGATGAAAACAGCCTGAAAACCCTAATTTTTGTAAAACTCATTAATGACGAATCATTAAACAATGGTGGCACTTTGAAATTCCAAAATAAAAAAAGAACCAGATCATTGCGAAATTTACTGTTGTTCAGAATATTTAAAAGTGACTGTGCTTGTAGTACAGTTTCACGCGTCCAGTCAAAAACTTCCGTTTGGTTGAAAATTTTCATATTTTTCTGCACCAACTATTTGCTTTGTAAAATCATCTGCACATGCCATACGTATTTTTTCACATGTTGCTGGGCTATTTAATACAAAGCACTTATTTAAACCATTATCACGACGATAGGATTCAATTGCGTTTTTAATAGCAAAGAAAACAGTGTTCGATAAAGGATATGCTGGTTCACCCACACCTTTTGATGAGAAAACGGCAAATGGATTTGGTGCATCTTTAAATAAACTAACACGAAAATCAATTGGCACGTCATTAAACGACGGTATTTTATATGTTCCTGGTCCTTGGGTGAATAAAGACCCTGGCTCTAACCATTTGTGTTGCTCATCACCCCATATTAATTCTTCCATTGTCACCATACCGACTCCTTGCATAAATGCACCTTCGATTTGTCCAACATCAATATTCGGATTCATTGATAAGCCAAAATCCATAAGAATATCTGTTCTTAAAATATGAAAATCGCCTGTTAATGTATCAATTTCAACTTCTGAGCAAGCGCAACCAGTTGTAAAATATGGATATGACGCAAAACTATTTTCAAAATCAACATCGGTAACATTAGATGTTTTATAAAAGCCTTCTGCAGATAGGTTTATTCGTTCATAGTATGCTTTGCTTATTAATTCAAACCAATTATATGTCGGAAATTCTTCTTTTAATGGTTTTAATCGCTCATTTATTTGTTGACATGCCTGTTTAGTTGCTTGTCCATATAAATCTGAGGATGCTGATCCGGCTGTCGATGACGTATTTGGTATTTTATCTGTTGCTATATCATTAATATGAATTAGGTTAACATCAATCTGTAATATTTCAGCCGCTACTTGAATAGTTTTTACATGAAGACCTTGACCCATTTCTGTTCCTACAAAAATTTAAGAAGATACTTTGAGATGATGTATAAATCAACAGGTAACCTTCATGCAGGATTCACTTAAACCATTGACTCAAATCGTGTGTTTACATCGCTTCTCCGTATATCCTCAACGTTGTGACTGTATTTTTAACCACAATAGAGAACGATATGATCCTAGACCTTCAGCCAGACAGTTTAACGTGAAAATCTTATTTGAGAGTTGCTGCTAATATTGAATAATCTTTCGTTAGTCAAAATCGGTACATTTACAGCTAGTTATGATCACTCTAGACTAATCTACGTTTGATGAGACACTACCTGTGTTATTTAAGTTTTGTTTTCTTGAACTCGGTAATTGTTTAGCGACACTCTTTTGTTCATCACTCGAAACTAAGTAGTTACACAGTTAGATCAATCACATTTTAATTTCTTATTCTGATCCTATTAACTGCATATGTGGAACACCATATCAGGCATGTTCTTGCGATTTCTCATGGCCGATAAACTCTGGCAAACCACTTTCATCTCTCTCTCATATTGAATATTATGACGCAGAAACACATCTGCATGTTACAGAGTCGAAACTTAATATACTAACTTCAGGACTCATAACGCTAAAATACAACTTCTGTTGTTTTAACCATTGAGGAGTGAGTGAGTTGGTGTCGTTGCGTTCTACTACTGCCGTCTAGCGTTTGAGTGATCGTTATGAAATTTTCAATCTAAGGCAGAAATAGCCTTGAAATCGCAACAGACGTACTCTCTAGGGAACCACCAGAGGTGGTAAATCGCTTTTTGATCGAAATCTAGTGAGTTATAGGTTATCGACCATGCTAATTCCGAATATGATCATGGCGATCTCTAATAGCTCTTCACAGATCCGATTTTCTGAAAAAACAGTTTTCCCGAAACTCTAAAAATAAACAAAACTTTTCATAAAGAGATATGATTGTAGCGCACAAACTTCTGATTAAAATGAGACATCTCCCAGCTCTACACGATCTTTCTTTGCAAAGTTATAGAATTTACAAGAACAGCCCTGAATGTTCATTGTGAGCTCAAACCTACAGAGGTAAGAAGCAAAA